AGTGCAACATCAGCATATTGTCTGACACACTTTTGTTTACTCAGCTCTGCTGTTTTCCTGTCGGACAAAGAACTGTAAATGTTGTTTTTGGGAGCTTGTGTGTCTGTGTGTGTCTGTGTGTGCGTGTGTGTGTGTTTAGCAGGTTTTTATAGTGATTGGACCGAACACAAATATATTTTACTTGGGTATCTTCCACAAACATTTAAGCAGCGCTTTCTTTTTCTTTGTGTTTGTCATTTGTTCTCACACTTTAAACGTCTTAACAAAACAGCCCAAAAGATGACACACACACACACACACACACACACACACACACACACACACACACACACACACACACACAGCGGGTCAATCTGCAGTGTAATCACAAAGGTTAACGTTTAATGAGTTATTATTACCGAACCCCTAAATCACACACACAACCGCAGCATTTGTCGCACGTTGTGTACTTTATGTGTTCCTTTAAGAGACCTTCACGGAGCTGCGTCTCAATGGGTTCCAGGTTTTAAAAGCTGTGGGACTGAGGTGATGGACAGGTGGGGGAAGGGGGGGGGGGGGGCAGTTAAAGGGTCAGTCCCCCCAGATTACAAATGGCAAACCCGGGTATCTTTTGTCCCTCATGTGTAGCGTCTCATGGCGGAGACGTCGGCCACCGGACTGATGCTTCATTTGCATCCGAGTAAATTCTGCAGAACAAAAAGCCGCGTTGGAGTGAAGGAGGATCTTTGTGCGTCCTGGTTCCTCGTGTCACCCTGAAACACACTATAAGAGTATCAGTAACTGAGCCCGTCCACACACATTTGGATCTGCCAGTGTGTGTGTGTGTGTGTGTGATATTCTAGTAAATTAGACCATCAATCAAACAAAGGAAGCAGAAAGAGAAAAAAATATCCTCGCAATAAAACAAAGGCGGGGAAGCAACATGTGGCATTATTTAACTGGCCATTGAGAGGAGAGTGTGTGTTGGTGTTTGTGCGTCCTCGCAGAAGGCCGACTACACTCTGTTCGGGCCATTATTTAACGCTGATTGTGGACTTTCAGGGGGCAGAGGTTTATTGGGACTTTTTAACCCGTCGTCGTGATATAAGGGGCCATTCGGTAACGTGATTACAGGTATTACAAACCTAATTTGTGCTAGTTGAACCAAAGAGTTTGGATCAGGACTAAATTTGTCTGAATGGATTCAAGGTTGTAATTTAAATACGTTAAATTAAATGAATAAAATCAGATCAGTGTTGTGATTCAGCACATGCTGTGTGTTGTGTCAAAAGTTGCATCGGCTGGTTCAGTTTGACTTCGATAAGTTGGAAGTGAACAGGTCTCCTGGTCAGGTGTACAAAGTACACAGCGTACAAAGTACACGGTGTACAAAGTACTGTACTACAAAGTGTACTCAGGAAAGGACTAAAGTTTGCGTAGTAAAACAGGACGCAGGATGAAGTTAGAGATGCTCGATGTTGTTCCAACTGACAACATTTAAATTGTGGTCTGTTGTCATCACACATGAGTGTAATTATGTGTGTGAATGTGTACATCAAACCGACGTAAAGATGTTGTGGCAGCTCCATTTAAAAAGCTGGCATTCCAGTCATCGCACACACACACACACACACACACACACACACACACACAGTGTATGGGCAGATAATCGCTTTGCAGGGGCCGCAGTAGAGCTTTGCCAGAGTTCTGTCTGACTAAAGGATCCATTAACCACACACACATATGAGGACATACTTCATCACTGACATACAAAAATAGAAAATTAGGCAAACGGACACCTACACTAATACCAGTACAACGTCTCAGGAACACACACACACACACACACACACACACACACACACACACACACACACACACACACACACACACACACACACACACACACACACATGGCCGTGTAAAGAGAACCATCAACGTGCCATCAGACATCAGACCTGTTAAATGCACGAGGCGCCGTGCAAAGACACGTCCAAACTCTCCGGCAATTATTCTGTAATCTGTTCATGGTTGGGTTGGAGGCAGTGAGGAGAGGTGGAGGAGGAGGAGGTGGAGGAGGAGGAAGAGGAGGATGGACAGGAGAGAGTGCAGCGGCCCCTCGGATTGATTGATCAAGACGCAGAGAGGTTCAAACGGATTTATTTTGTTTCTCTCGACGAGCACCATGACGCCGTGAACACCGTGAAAACTACAGAATGAAACAGAAGAAATACACAATGCTTCTATGTAGTTTCAACAATTAACTTATACAAAATAACGTTTACACTCGATACAAATCATTTGAAATACTAGCCAAAGTGAAATGAAATATGTTTAAATCGCTATGACAAATAAAACATCACATGCATCCTTCATACCTCAATCCGCTCTCCAAGGGCGCTAATCAAAGGGATTTCCTCCACCTGCTAGCATCTCCTTTTGAAATGACAGGTACCAACAATACAAAATAATGAAATAAATTACGATTTAAACTCTTTCTTTACATCATTCGAATGTATTTAACACGATACATAACTAATATTATAGTTATATATATATATATAATATATATATACTAATAAGCTTTACCGTTGCTTCGACGATGCGTGACTTCCACGTTGCAAATGGTAAGTAGCAGGAAGTGAGCGTCACAAAAAACATAAGAAGAAGAAAACGGCGCTTTTCAAAATAAAAGCAGAACGGACCTTGTTGACACATGAATAGAATATTGTGTAGAGAATTGCAATTTAAATCAGACATTTACAGAGAGGGACACAGAAACTAAAACAGAGACACAATCAGCTGTGCCACAAAAACAGCTGTGTGCGAGTTCAAGGTGACGCAAACGTCAAGGGTCGAATACCTCTGAAAGGGTTCATTATGAACTCTAAATGTGTATTCACAGAGGAGCACATGACATCCTGCATCAGCGGGTCTGCGATACGTCTTTGTCTCATCCAGAGAGGCTGTGTGTGATATTACTGCATGCCGGTGTGTGTGTGTGTGTGTGTGTGTGTGCAGTGGGCCGTGATGCTGTTGCTCCGGTCCTGCACCACGGAGTGATGCTAACTAGTAGCCCGCTGTTCACTCTGCTCATGAACAATAAAGATATTCTGTGGAGACGAGAAGGTGCCGATGAGAGGCAGAGAAGACCGAAGGCCGTGAGTACGATGGAGGTTGGGAGGGAGAGTGAGGAACTGAAGAAAGAATTAGGGGAAAGGGAGTTCAGCGCCATTTATCCAAAGCGACTTATATTACATTTTTCACCCATTTTTTTACGGGGGAGTTTAGGTGTCTTGCTCAGGGACACCTTCAACATGGAACGTAGGGCAGTCAGGACTCGAACCACCAACCTTGTGCTGCCCAGCGACCCCCTCTTTACCCCCGGCGCCACGGCGACCCAGACAACGGCCGTCCACCAGTTCTCAACGTCCCTTTTGGTTGTTACCTCTTAACTCACGAGAGGATCGCGAATCGAAGGTTTTACACGCTGAACTTCAACGGTTTCCAATGTGCCGCTTTGTGCTTCAGCGAAACGATGGCCACGCTTCCATTTTCACTCTTTCAATGTTTGTTTGGCCAACCGGTCATTACTTCTAAGAGATGGCACGTTTCTTTCCTTGTCTTGGGACACCCTGCAGAGCCGGGGTGTGACGTGATGCAGCACGAGGACAGCGTCGTAGCAGTGGTGAGAAATGGTTCAATGCCATCTGGAAAGTCTGGCTGTTGAATCAGTCTGTTGCATTCATATTGGGATGTAGCCAGCAGGAAGTGAGCGACCTTCACCCATGGTTCTAGCAGATAGATGTTCTAGTTAACTCACCTGGTTAGTGATGCAAACGCAGACGTTTGTGAAAACCAGTGAGAGGAGGGACGACACGACATGTGAGATTGTTACCTTGTTTTTTCTTTGTTCTCCGTCTTGTTCATTGGAGTCGCTCTCCTCCATCGTCCTCTGTATCTTTACCCAACACGGATGCTGTGTCTCGGGATACGGATACAAAGCAACACCAGAGGTTTCCTCAAAGGTTCCTCTCTGTTGTGTACCTCTGGATGTCATTACATCCCGTTCAGGCTGCTTGCTTGTCTCACAGGATCGTGATGAACCCCCTCCAGGAAACGCTGGAGGGATCCAGGCGGATCCAAACAATGGACCCCCCCCCCCACCACCAGGCCGGCCACTCTCAGGTGTGAGCATGGTAGTTCACCTGAAGACGAGCCCACGCTCAGCAGAGATGAAAAGAGTTTCTCACAAAGCTTCGGAGAACATCTCCACTGATTCAATGAGAAGTGAAAACGCAAACTGAGACCAACAGCTCAGAGACCATGAAGGTGTCTCCATGAGCCAGTAGAGGGCAGCAGAGCCCCCCCACCCCCCCACCCCCCCTCTAGAGAGACCTGACCCACACTGAAAAGTCTGCCGTGCTGAACAACTGTGGAGGAACTTTAAAAGTGCTCATAAGCAAATCATCTGGACACACGAATCCATGTCAAGTCCTTTGGAAGGGTCCTTTAATCCCACCATCACCTCCACTCCATAAATGAACCCGAGGCTTCTGAATCCGAGTGTTGATGGTCTATCAAGCCATTGTGGTATTTGCCAACAGAAGAGAAACAAAGCGGAACATTCCGCTCGAACGGGTCGGTCCGTCAGCGCGGCATGAATCAATGACGCTGACACATGGAGACTCCCCGAAGATGATGGATCGGGGTATTTGGCTCGTGAAATAGATGGCCCCAAACCAACTACACCATCACAAAGTAAATCGTTAAGATGATATACGGGCCGTGATGAAAAGAGCAGAGTTGCTGGGAAATGAGCTGAAATATGGACTGAGAGCTTCCACTTTTATCCGCATGTGTGGGAAAGAATGCGAGGTTTTACGCAGCAGAGTCTCTGCGCGAGATAAGGGCAAGTTTGGAGAGGGAGAGAGAGGGAGGGAGGGGGGGAGGGAGAGAGAGGGATTTTGGGGAAACCTAAGCGCAAGTGTGTGTACCTCAGTCTGCGCGTTTTCTCTCCCCCCTCCCACCCCCCCCACCGCCAGTGATTAGGCGAAGCGCTCCCCGAGGCGGAGGGATGTTCCCTGGGAGGAGGTTACACCCAAGCTGAACATTTTCACCTTGGAGCGTTTGGAGTCCGGCTGCTGACCTCCCGTCCGGCAGCGTTCACATCCGCATCCTCCTTCCTCCATGGAGATCCCGACTGCTCGATCCTCTTGACAAACTTTGGTGAACTTCTACAACATCACTTTTTTTTTTTGTTATCCAGCGACCTCTCTTGACCTTTTTTTTGGGGGGGGGGATCCTTAACGTCCACAGCGAGCGCTTCCCGGACTTCCAGCTGCCTTCGCTCCGGGAGTTCTGCGCGGATATCATGCCTCCGATGGCACCGGAGGAGCGGGCTTCGCTCCGCCGGGTTTGGGCTCTGCTTTCGGCGCTGCTGGTGTGCGCCGCCTCGGTGACTGGATGCCCGCACAAGTGCAGCTGCTCCGGGTCGCATGTGGACTGCCAGGGTCTCGGTCTGAAGAGCGTCCCCAAAGGAGTGCCGAGGAATGCCGAGCGCCTGTAAGTGTCACTCAAGGCAAATCATATATACGTATATACATGTATGTGCGTGTGCGTGTCATCGGCTCTCTTAAATATGAGCGCGTGCCCCGCGGCTCCAGGGCGCGCACGCGCTCTCCAACCCTAAAGACAGCAGCGGGTTTGGTGCGTGAAAGCATCCCGTTGCCTTCACGGCCGAGCGGACGTGCTCGGACTCCGGTGCAAAACTTTTAGGGTGAAGTTTCAAACTTCACTAAATGAAAAAGTCACGAATTTCTGACGCCGCGTTCTTCATTCGTGAATCAATACATTCTTTTTTTTTAAACATCGTTGTGTTGAGTTGATGTCAGTCACTTTTAATTTGAAGGGAAAGAATCAATTTCACTTTGAGAGAAATATTAATTAATGGTTTTTATTTTGCATTAAATGTTATTATTATTAAACTTAAATCAGCTCACACAGCTGCGTGACTTTGCCATAAATTGGGGAATGGGAATAAATATTTCTAAATTTCTAAAAAAGTCAATAGAGGTGTCGTTTCAAACTTGTAGGCGCAATAAAGTGGGAAATACTGCAGTATTTCTGCGCAGAGCAGCGGGACGTTGCTCCTCCTGGCTGAAGGAATAATGGATGGTGCACGTTACACTGCCCGAAAGTTCACCAGTGACCCCGGCGAACGGAGGAAGTTAAGAAAACAGTGCTGAGCAGCTCCAGGGCGAGTAATTCGCTTTTTAAACGGGTCAGGAGAAAGGTGAGAGGACGCAGCGAGCCCCTTAAAGCTTCTCGTAATCTTCCCTCTCTGCAGTTGAGGCGACTTGTTGAAATCCTAAACAACGGTTTTCCTCTTGAAGAATTACTCTCTGTGTGTTTTGGGGAAACCTGGTGACATTTAGGTTCAAATGGTATTCATTCCTGAGGCCGAGACGGACCCCCCTCCGGCCTGATCCCGACACGTATACACCCCCCCCCACCCCCCCCAGCCACACACATGCACTCACAGACT